GTGGGGAGGGGTGCGGGGGGGGGCGCAGAGATCTTGGGGTGCGGAGCACCGGCTTTCCGAAGGCAAAGTCCGGGCACGTTCGGGGCCGCGTCCTCTCTCTTCCCAGTTCTCCTTAGGAGCTGACATTCGCTTCCTCCGTTGGGGTCCCGGCCACCCCACTCTCCCCTTAATGGAGCCGCTCAACCGAGGCCTCGGTCTCCGCCCGAGTAATTGACCCCATGTTCACACCTCCAGCCCTCTTCTTGCCCTACACCTAAGTGCTCGGGCTCTGTCCCGCCTGTCCCCCAGATTTAGGAATATGGATCCCAGATTCCCTCCTGCTCCAAGGGCCGAGGGACCCAGACCTCCTCCAGACCCACTTCCTAACCCTGCCCCATTTGCCCCAGATTGCAGGATCCTCGGTTCTTAAGCCCCCAGAATTTCTTTTTTAGGGGGTGGGAGTCTGCCAGTACTAGAGTTTGAATCAATGGCCTAGGTCCTGTTCCTGAGTTTCTCTTCAAGGCTAGTTCTCAACCACTTTGAGCCACAGTTCCAGTTCCGGCTTTTCGGTGGTTCACTGGAGCTAAGAGTGTTAGGGACTTTCCTGCCCAGGTTGACCTCCAACAGCTATTCTCAGATCTCAGCCTCCTGAGCAGCTGGGATTACAAGCAGGAGCCACCAGTACCCAGGCAGAACTGATTTCTTGAACCCTGTCCCCGGCCCACCAGAACCCCCGGACCTGACTCCGGAAGAGCGGATGGAGTTGGAGAACATCCGGCGGCGGAAGCAGGAGCTGCTGGTGGAGATCCAGCGATTGCGGGAGGAGTTGAGTGAAGCCATGAGTGAGGTGGAAGGTCTGGAGGCCAATGAAGGCAGGTGAGATGTCAGGAGCCAGCAGCTTGGAGGTCAGGGGTTTGGCCAGGGCCAGGCATGGCCAGGCTTTGACCTTTGACCACTCTGCCCCTTGCAGTAAGACCTTACAGAGGAACCGGAAGATGGCCATGGGCCGGAAGAAATTCAACATGGACCCCAAGAAGGTGAGGGCAACCCCAGGCAGATATCTCGGAAGGGGTCGTCATTGCCTCTAGCTTCCAGAAGGGTGATGCCAATCCTTGGATTCAGACACTAGCTGTCCATTTGTTGTGGGAACACTGGCCAGGTGGACATGCATTTGCTGAGGCTTCTGGAGGGTTCTAGGCCCCCCTTCCACATCCTGTGGTAGGCACAGCCAGGACCCACAGAGAACTGACCCTGCTTGCTCTGGGGGTAGGGATGCCATAGCTCTGAGTAAGATGTCCTTGTGGCCGGGTACCAGTGGCTCACACCTGTAATCCTAGCTACTCAAGAGGCTGAGATCTGAGGATCACGGTTCAAAGCCAGCCTGGCCAGGAACATCTGTGAGACTCTTATCTCCAGTAACCACTAGAAAACCAGAAGTGGCGCTGTGGCTTAAGCAGTGGTGCTGTGGCTCAAGCCGTAGAGCACTTGCCTTGAGCTGAAGAGCGCAGGGACAGCGCCCAGGCCCAGAGTTCAAGCCCCACGACCAACAAAAAAAAAGATGTCCTTGTGGTGGGCCAGTCTCCTCCACACAAGGAAGCCAGAGAATTGTCCATTCCAGCCTGGAGGCCATGTGCACTGCCCTGCTAGGCTGAGGTCTAGTAACCGGTTCTCACTTTATTCTTATCAGAGACCCTTACCTGAGGTTGTGTAGTCTTTTAGCAAACACGTTCTGAGCATCTGTTCTCTGCTGGCCTGGCTTGGGTCCGGGAGTTAACTAGGCAGGGCACATGGACCAGACCCCAGGTGGAGCCGGGTCCTGTCTATAGTGGTTGGGGGGTCACAGAGGTGCAGGAGCCATGGCTTTCTGGCCTCTGCACTGACTGACACCCAACCTCTCCTTGCTCCCTCCCCCAGGGGATCCAGTTCTTGGTGGAGAACGAGCTCCTGCAGAACACACCGGAGGAGATTGCCCGCTTCCTGTACAAGGGCGAGGGGCTGAACAAGACGGCCATTGGGGACTACCTGGGGGAGAGGTGAGCCTGCGGGCTTCACCCTTCTGCCCCACACCAGTGGAACAGAGTTCCCGGAGAGGCCCTGACTAGGCTATAACAGAGTGGATCGACTTGGGGGTTCAGGGACTTTCTATGGGTTAAGTGTTGTGACTGAGGATCAAATGGGGCTTGGGGGTGTCTGCAGAGAGTGGGTACCCTGGCTGCTGTCCAGGGAGCCACAGGGGTGGCTGGAAGTCGAGGAGCATGAGTCTGGATGGTGGATGCCTGGGGACCAGTAGGGTCACATCTGTCGCCCTGAGTGAGGAGGAGCCTGGTGGTTCTGGGGGAGCTCAGGGACATTTGTGTCTGGGGGTGGCATGGGGGACATGGGAGGGGTGACAGTGGGTGGCCAGCATGTACACTGCACGTCTACTTTTTGTTGTTGTTGTTCTTGGTTGTGGGGCTAAAACTCAGGGCCCGGGCGCTGTCCCTGAGCTTTTTTGCTCAAGGCTAGTGCTCTACCACTTTGAGCCACAGTTCCACTTCTAGTTCACTGGAAATAAGAGTCTCATTGACTTTCCTGCCCAAGCTAGCTTTGAACTTTGATCCTCAGATCTCAGCTTCTTAGGTAGCTGGGATTACAGATGAGAACCGAACTGCCAGTGCTGGGATTACAGACGTGAACCACCAGTGCCTGGCTGCATCTCCCACTGGGAACCAGGATTCCCAGGGTGCATATTCTTTCTAGGAGTGGAGTGCTCCCACCCTGGCCTGAGCCATCAGTAGGACCAAGATTTTAGCTGGGCGCTGGTGGCTCACACCTGTTATCCTAGCTACTCAGGAGGCTGAGATCTGAGGATCTCAGTTCAGAGCCAGCCTGGTCAGGAAAGTCTGTGAGACTCTTATCTCCAATAAACCACCAGAAAACCAGAAGTGGCACTGTGGCTCAAGTGGTAGAGCACTAGCCTTGACAAGCTGAAGAGCTGAGGGACAGCGCCCAGGTCCAGAGTTCAAGCTCCACAACTGACAAAAAAAGAAAAAGGAAAAAGGACCAAGATTGGAGCTGGGAAGGTGGCTCAGTGGTAGAGCGCTTGCCTTGCATGCATGAGGCCCTGGGTTCAATTCCTCAGCACCACATAAGCAAAAAGAAAAAAGCCAGAAGTGGCGCTGTGGCTCAAGTGGTAGAGCGCTGGCCTTGAGCTGAAGAGCTGAGGGACAGTGACCAGGCCCAGAGTTCAGGCCCCACAACCGGACCCCCCAAAAAAAAAAAAAGGACCAAGATTTTACTTGCTGTATGTAAAGGTATTGCAGGGCACCAATGGCTCACACCTGTAATCTCAGCTACTCAGGAGGCTGAGATCTGAGGATTGCAGTTTGCAGCCAGGCTTAGCTTGAAAGTCCGTGAGACTCTCATCTCCAGTTAACCACCAGAAAAACCAGAAGTGGCATTGTGGCTCAAAGTGGTAGAGAGCAAGCTTTGAGCAAAAGAGCTCAGGGACAGCGCCTAGGCCATGAGTTCAAGCCCCAGGACTAACAACAACAAAAAAAAAATGGCGCAGCACCCATGCTTTGCCTCCTGCCTGCTCCCAGTCCACGGCCCCAGGTCCTTTCCACTGTGTAATCTTTATCCTTGTCCTCCAGGGAAGAGCTGAACCTGGCAGTGCTCCATGCTTTTGTAGATCTGCACGAGTTCACCGACCTCAACCTGGTGCAGGCCCTCAGGTGAGCGGGACATCCCGGTGGGGAGGGCTGCGGTGCCCTGGCAGGGCTGGCTGGCTTGCTTGCTTTCTCTCTCTCTCTTTCTTTTGTCAGTCGTGGGGGCTGAACTCTGGGCCTGGGCACTGTCCCTCAGCTTTTCAGCTCAAGGCTAGTGCTCTACCACTTGAGCCACAGCACCACTTCCGGCTTTTTTCTGCTTATGTGATGCTGAGGAATCGAACCCAGGGCCTCATGCATTCGAGGCAAGCACTCTACCACTGAGCCACCTTCCCAGCCCTGGCAGGGCTTTCTTAGTTGCATGTGACAGGCCATCCTCAGAAGGGTCACTGAGGAATTGATTGCCCCGGATGAGAGCCTCCTTCAGGAATGGCTTGGATGCAGGTCCCCATGTACTAGCTTTACTCCCCAGGGACCCCTCCTCCATGACAGCAGAAGCCCCTGGAAGAGTCCTGTTGGACCAATTGTCCTACGGCCAGTGCTTTTTGGTCAGATTGGAGTCCCCTGTCCAAACAACAGTAGAGCCCCGAAGGTTGGCGTTTCTGTCAGGCCAGACCCTAACAGGCTGGGGGGAGCGGCTCTCCCTCCCTGACACCCCCCTCTCCTGGTCCACCCCAGGCAGTTTCTCTGGAGCTTTCGTCTTCCTGGAGAGGCCCAGAAAATTGACCGCATGATGGAGGCCTTCGCCCAGCGCTACTGCCTGTGTAACCCTGGAGTCTTCCAGTCCACAGGTGGGGGCAACTGCTGGGTCCAAGCGGGGTGGGAGGAGTGTGGGAGGGGGCAGGGCAGCTGGGATCAGGCACGGAGTGTCACTCATCCTTTCTGGTGCAGACACGTGCTATGTGCTGTCCTTCGCCGTGATCATGCTGAACACCAGCCTGCACAACCCCAACGTCCGGGACAAGCCAGGCCTGGAGCGTTTTGTGGCCATGAACCGAGGCATCAACGAGGGCGGGGACCTGCCTGAGGAGCTGCTGAGGGTCAGCCCCCTTCCCCGGCCCCTTCCTTCCCTGGCCCCTAGTACCTCCCGAAGCCTGAGCTGGCTGGCCGGACTCATTTGGAGTGGGAATGGATTAGATAGTTGGCATGCATATGTCTCTGTCATTTCTGGGCTTGTCTCTTCCTTCAAGCCATACTCTAATTCTCTGTTGACTTCCCCTGTGTCTCTTCTCCCCTCCCTGGGGTTCCTTCTGCTCCCCTGCTTTCATCACATGGTGCACCCCGTTTTCTTCCCCCCGCCCTATATCCCTGCCCCTTAAGGCCTTGCTGACCTGCCCCCCTCCCAACCTCCAGAACCTCTACGACAGCATCCGGAATGAGCCCTTCAAGATCCCAGAGGATGATGGGAATGACCTGACCCACACGTTCTTCAACCCCGACCGGGAGGGCTGGCTCCTTAAGCTGGGTACGGCCCCTGCTCTCTCCCTCTGCCACCCTGCTAGGGGCAAATGAGTGGCCTGGATTAGGATTCAATTTCCACAGGAACGTGCTGTGTGGTCTGAGGAAGTAGTTAGACCTCTCTGAACCTGGTGTGAAAATAAGCTGGTGTGGGTGGGTGCTGAGCCTACAGCAACCCTTCTCTCCCCACACAAGACTGTGGAGCCCTCTTACGGCTAGGCCCTGCCCTCAGCCCGGAGGCTGCTGGGAGAAGCGGGTAACCCGGTATGCAGGATTCATCGGCCTCATTGTGCAGCCATGTGGTGGCTGTCCCTGGTGTCCTGCCCTGGGCCCCCACAGCCTTGTGGAGGATGTCCGCTTTCCAGAGGGACTCCTGCCTTAGCTGGGAGGTAGAGGATGGGTACAGCCTGGGTGAAATGCTGGGCACAGGGCACAGAAGGTGGCAGTCATGACACTGGGACAGACCTGGAAACAGTACAGCTCTGTTACCCTGACACACTGAAGTTGCCACACAGAGATCCCAGTTGTGGCCTGTGTGGCTAGGGTGGCTTTTTTTTTTTTTGTCCGTCATGGGCCTGGGCGCTGTCCCTCAGCTCTTCAGCTCAAGGCGAGCGCTCTACCACTTGAGCCACAGCGCCACTTCTGGTTTTCTGGTGGTTTACTGGAGATAAAAGTCTCACGGTCTCTCCTGCCCGGGCTGGCTTTGAACCGCGATCCTCAGATCTCAGCCTCCTGAGTAGCTAGGATTACAGGCGTGAGCCACCAGCGCCCGGCTTGTGCCACTTTTTCTTTATGGTGCTGACGCTGGGGCTTTAACTTAGTGCCTCAAACTTGCTCAGCTTTCTTGCTCATGGCTGAAGTCATGGAGGACCTGGAGGTGAACGGCCATCCTGAGACCTCAGTCTTCTGAGTCGCTGGGATTTCAGACATGAGCCTCTGGTGCCCAGGAAGCAAAATGTTGCCCCCAAGGGTGTCGGCCTGTGCACGGCAGCCAGGCGTGCTGTGTCCGTCTATAAACCGGGCTTTTGAGGGCGGCCTGGGCGAAGTGAGCAAGGCTCGGTGTCAGAAGCAAAATGGCAAGCTCCAGTAGGGTGCCTGCTGGCCGCGGAGGCCCTGGGCCCCCAGAGAGGGAAAGGGCCCCAGCCAGCAGCCTGTGCTCGTGGGCGGGGAAGGGTGGAAATGCGGGGCCTGTGGAGTGGGGCGGGTGCCCCTGGCTGGCACCGTGGCTGAACATGGGTGGGGAGCGGAGCTGGGCTCCCCGCGCCCGCCCTGCCCTGCCCTCGAGTGGATGTAACTGGTTTTCTCCCCCTCTCTCCCTCCCCGCCTCCTCTCTGTCTCCGCTGTGCTCTGTCCGCCCCGCGCCCCGCCCGCCTTTTCTGTCGCTGCGGCTCTTGGGGCCCCCACTCTGCCTTCCCTTCTGCACCCGGTCCTGCCTGCTTTCTCGCTGTCTGCCCCAGGAGGTAGGTACCCGGCCGGCCCGGCCCCGCGGGCCACGGGAGGGGGTGGGGGCCGCGGCCTCGAGCCGGGGAGCCGGGGGTGGGCCGTTCCTGGGGCTCGGCCTGTCCCTGCCTGGCCTGGCCCGCTTGCTTGCCTCTCTGCTCCGCGCCTCCTCTGTCCTAGGCCCCGGCCGCTCCGCCCCCGGGAGGCCACGCCTCCAGGAGGCTCCGCCCCCAGGAGGCCACACCCCTGAGCCCGGCCCCTCCCCTTCCCTTTCAGGGGGCCGGGTGAAGACCTGGAAGCGGCGCTGGTTCATCCTCACCGACAACTGCCTCTACTACTTCGAGTACACCACGGTGGGTGTGGGGGGCCCGGGCCACGTGGGGGAAGCGTGGAGAGGGGGCTGGGTTGTGGGTCCTGAGCTGAGCCGGCCCTGCTCCCACAGGACAAGGAGCCCCGGGGCATCATCCCACTGGAGAACCTGAGCATCCGGGAGGTGGATGACCCCAGGAAGCCGGTGAGACTGCGGGGGGGGGGGGGGAGGGGGAGGATCCCTCCCTCCTGTGCTACCTGCTTCCTGTCGCTGACCACGGCCCCAGTCCCTAACTACTACCCCTCCCTCTGCCCACAGAACTGCTTTGAGCTCTATATCCCCAACAACAAGGGGCAGCTCATCAAGGCCTGCAAGACGGAGGCGGACGGGCGCGTGGTGGAGGGCAACCACATGGTCTACCGCATCTCCGCCCCCACGCAGGAGGAGAAGGACGAGTGGATCAAGTCCATCCAGTGAGCCTGCGGGGTGGCTGAGGGAGGAGGCTAGGGCTGAGGGAGGAGGCTGGGCCTGGCCTTTGGCCCTCATCGACTCCTCTCCGCCCAGGGCTGCGGTGAGTGTGGACCCCTTCTATGAGATGCTAGCAGCGAGAAAGAAGCGGATCTCGGTGAAGAAGAAACAGGAGCAGCCCTGACCCGTCCCCAAGTCCATTATTTATTTTGGAGCTGCCCCGCCCGGGTGGCCGGACCCCTGGGCCCTGGGGCTGTGGATCCTGGTTCCCCCATTTGGAAAATTCACCTCTAGCTCCTCTTTCCTTCTTTGTAATCCACACACTGTTGGTAATCTTAATATTAATGAACCTCTTGCGCCTGCAGACCCCCTCATTCTTTGGCATTGGCAGAGCTGAGATGCTGGGGCCCTGTGTACCTGGCACATGGGAGGGCTGGTGTGGCCCAGAGAGCTCCATGCACTTTCTCAGAAGCCCATAGGCCTGATGAGAATTGGCTGGTGCTGGGGAATGACCCTTGGAAGTTGAAACCTCTGATCCTCAGCCTCTACCTTTGCTCAGGGCTGGGAACAGGGCAATCTAGACAATAGAGAAGCACTTAGGGAGGCAGCCATGGCCTGTGAACTGGGAACCTGGACAACACTGTCCGCAGTATAGTCCTGGGTGGCAGTGTGGCACCAGACCTGCAGATTCACCTTGTACGGTGTGCATCTCAGCTTATGATAACCCCAAATCTAAGATCTGGCTAGTTATAGTACACATGGTTTTCCCAGAGACCAAAGACTGGTTGGTTCCATGTCTCCACTTGTGGTGCACAGAGGTTTTGTTTTTTAAGTACAAGTCTTGCTGTGTAGCCCAGGCTGTCCAAGAACTGCCTTGACATCTTTAATCCCGATGCTATATGCTCAGATGTGCTGATACTGCAGAAGTATACTACCCTGCCAGGAGCAGTTCTGGGCTAGCAGCTGGACTGGATTTGTTAGTCCTCCCCTGGTGGTGCTAGAGGCGCTGGGCCCAGTTGCTGATTGCCTTGGTAGGGTGGGTGGGGCCTATCTTGGGCCATATTGGCTACAGGGCCAGGCAAAGGCACCTGCACCTGGAAGGCCCCTTTCCGCAGGCAGGTCCTGGGAGCCTCAGCTACAGCTCCCACTAGGTTGGTTGTTCAGCTCTGGGCCTCAGCCTTGGGCTGTGGGCTTTGCCTCTGCTGGGTATCCTGCCCTGTGGGGGTTGGTAAAGCCCCAACTGCTGCCAACAATGTGTCCATATTTCATCTGGAGGGATACACCTCTTGTGGCACTTCCGCTCCAGGGCACCTGGAAGGACCCATTGGCGAGATCACTGACAGAAATGGCTCAGGGGAAGTTATAAAGAGATGAAATCAATTCTGGTCAGGATAAAACTGGGGGAGCTTGTGGAATGCTGGAGTGGCTGGTCACCTCCAAATTGCCTGCCTTTCCCAAGGATAGGCAGTTGTGGGTGCTAGCCCCAACCTCAGCCCCCCACCTGAGCAGCAATTTGGAAAGCTGCCTATTGCTAAGGACTGGGGAGTGTGGGGTTTCTTAATGTGGGCCCAGAGGAAGCAGGGGGAGTGGATGCAGCAGAGCTATGTGAACGGTTTGCCACTGAGGGGCACTCGTGTGCCACCCTCCTCCCTCAGGCCAGGAGTTCAAAGGTCAAAACAGGGAGTGTGCACAGGGGCAGCAAATGGCAGGGGGCTTTCTGAAGTTCATATGGGAAGGTGGGTAAATTGAGGCAGGGCTACCTGGTCCCCCCAACACAGCTTCCTGTCAGCCCTGCGGGTCTTGGCCCTGCCCAATGCGTGGGCGCCCCTTGCCCCAGGCCTTGTGCATGGGGACTGTCCTCCCTGCCCCCCCTCCGCAAACACACAGGCCCTGCCTTCCTCCAAAAAGTCATTTTTGTCTTTTTTAAATAATGTGAAAATGCCACGTCAAGGTTTGAACTGGAGGCCCCTCCAGGGGCCAGGCGGGGCGGGGCGGGGGTCCGAAGCCTGCGGCCTGAATGGGCCAAGTGGGGGAAGCTGGGCCCCCGCGTGTCAAGGGGCTCCAGGCCCTGAAGAGTTCATTCAGTTCAGTTCCAAGAAAAGTGACTTTCCGGGAAGATCGAGGGGCTTCTTGCCTCATGTGGCACCGAGGGGATCGGGGGTGTCAGGGGAGGTGGCTGGGGGGCTCGGGGGCGGGGGGCCGGGGCCTCCCGTTTGGCACGTGGTGGGGGGCGGGGAGGGCCCGGCCTCGGGAGCCTCCCCGGAGGCGGCGTCTGCAGCAGTGGCAGTGACTCCGTCATCCACACAGGATTCCACTCTCAGCCCCTCGTCTGGGGGTGCAGGAGGGTCGGGTCTCTGGGGAGTCAGTTCTCCACGGGGCCTGAGGATGGAGACAGTAATGTGAGTTTATGGGGAAGGGCCAGGCTCTTGGCTTCTGGGTCACTCCAAGTGAGCGGAGCTACACGAGGCCCCCCCATCATCCTCCCTTCCCTCCGTCCTCGCCAGCCAGCCCAGCCACAGGCCCACGGTGAGACCGCGCCCCCCTCCCCGGGCTTCCGCATCCGCAACGGAGCTGCCCAATACTTTTTCCTACGGAAGCCAGGTGGGGGGGGGGGACTGAGACTGGGGGTGTGGGGGTGCGGCGTGACAGCCCAAGACCATGGGTCTTGGTTCTGAGCTGGCTGAGGGAGAACCAAGAAGGAAGAGGCCACAAGTCCAGAGATGGACCAGGAGGTAACGGTACCTGCGGGCCGGGCGTCGGGGGCCCGAGTGGGGGGCCCCGGGGTCTCCAGTGCAGGCGAGACGGAGAAGCGGGAGAAGCACAGGGGGGGCCCGGGCGGGGGGAGGAGGGGGAAATCCTCCGCCCACTCGAAACTGCCTCCTGCCAGGATAGAAGAGGGCGGGCACCCATCAGACACGCGGGTCCCCGGGCTCCCGCTCCCGCTCCCGTGCAGGCTCCGCTCCTCCCAGGCCCCACCTCCGAGGTCCTCGCAGCCAGCCCTGCCCACATTGGCTCCGCCTTTCCCCTTCCAGGGCCAACTCCCCACGCCCGCTGTCGGCCCCGCCCCCAAGCGGTCCTCTTCCCTCACCAAAGCCGCTGTCGTTGCTGGGAAACCCATCTCCGGGGGTGGCGGGGTGGGGAGGCGTCGGGGGCGCTGGGGGCGTTGATGGGTCCGTGTCCCCCTCGGGGGGGCCCTGCACGCTCAGCTCGTTGGTTGGTGTCTCCTGGGACGGCAAGCGAATGGAAAGGAGAGGGGATGAACCCTCAGTCACGGCCACCCACTGTGTCCCCCTAACAGGTGGAAACGGCTGCTAACACTGACCTCACTCTCTGGAGCAGAGGCCTAGCCCTGAATCTGCCTGGGAAGCCTTGGGTCAGCCTTAAACCTAATCTCCTTACCTGACTACAGAGGGCTCCGCCCACCGATAAGCCACGCCCACATCCGATCTCTACGTCCCGCTCCGCCCACTGTCAGGCCACGCCCACTTGGGGGGTGCTCCCCTCTTTCGGCTCTGCCAGTCAGATGCCCTAACCCAAAGCGATCTCAAAGCCGCCTCCATCCGCCCTGTCCGTCCCATCTACCTCCCATATGTGGGCCTCAGGTAGTCGACTTGGGGGCCTGGAACCACCTTCCTCCTAGGCCCTCCAACGTAGCCCACCCAGGCTTGGCAACCCCGCCCCAGGCCCCGCCCCCAAGACGACCGGCTTGTTCAGCCCCGCCCCCTCAGCAGGCCCCGCCCCCGTACCTGGTCGAAGAGGTAGACGGTCACGTCCCCGTGGAAGGAGACCATCTTGCGCTTCCTCTCCAGCTCGCTGTCCTCCGAGTCGTCGGCCCCGCGCGGAGACTTGAGCAATCCCCGCAACGGCCGAGCCGCGTCCGCGTCGGCGCTGCTCACCACGACGGGCACCGGGGCTGCCCGCGTCCTCCCGGAGCCCCGAGGTCCCG